CATTCTTTTTTGGGGTAAAAAATTAAAATTTATTAAAAAATGAAGTTGATACAAGGAAAGTGACGAAAAACAGCCTAACTAGCATTCTTCCTGGCGAAAAACAGCCAACCAGTTAAGAGGTATACTAATGGTAATTAAGCAATGTATGAAAATAAGAGGTCATGGGTTCAAATCTTATCAAACACATTTTAAATTATCAAAAAAACAGAAAACCAAGAACAAACAAGAGTCAAAACTCCCCATCCAAAGAAAACAAAAACAACCCAAAAACCCTAACTTTAAGTAAGCATAAGGGATTATCAAAATAAAAGTAAATAAGCCTCAAGACAATGAGCTCCATGATGGCACCCAACCCCAAATTGAGACATACCAGAATCCCTTACAGCCAATAAGCGCCAATGAAACAGATGCACCACCAGCATCCAAAAAAGGCAAACCAGAAACTCTCTACTTCTTTATGGCCCTACTAGGCTTCAACAGCTTCTTGTTTGGTCCAATCCCAAATAGACCCCTTTTCTATCTAGCAAAAACACTTGAAACCAAAATGTCTCGATGCTTCTTGTTCCTCTGCCAACTGTTAGAGAGTTCTCCTTAAACTTCTTTGCATTTTTATATTCCCCATTAATTCTTTCCAATTCTAGAACTGAATTCTTCTCAAACAATTGGCTTGCATCTTTATCCTCATTCTTTTTCTTGACAGCTTAGTCAAAATCAGACAATCTCTACATATCATGACTTGCTTCTGAACTTGAGAAATTTTCTTTAAGGAGATAAGGACTACCTCAAATTCTTCCCCCCAGCATAGGACATTTCTCTTCCAACTCTTGAGCATCTTCCTAATGCAATCCTCACCCCCTAGATCAAGTAAACCCAAAGATTTGCAAACTTCAGCTTCTACATTCACCACATTCTCCAAATCAACTGATTTTTCGATTTCATGGGTTCCATCCAATGCAACCTCTTTCGCTTGAATCACCATCATTTTCTTCCTCCTCTTTTCCTCCTTCCTTTTCTTCTACCACTGTAATCTCATTTTCCTCTAAAGCTGAAAATGTTCTGTAATTTACTTTTCTTTTCTTTTTTCTTTTCTTCTCCCCTTATCTTCCCACTTCTGAGTCCTTCAACCTCACCCCATTGCTTTTACCCCCACAATTCCTCCATAATTTCCTCATTACCGCGGTTACCTTTTTCACAATAACTCCACCTTCTTTACCATCAATACATTCTATGGGCACCACTAAATTCTCCTTTTCTAATGTAAAAATCTGTGTCATCCCATTTAAATCCTTGACTAAACCCTCTTCAGTTTCTCCAGTAGTTTCATCTATCACTTCCTCTTCAGCATCTCATCATCATCATCATCATCATCATCATCATCATCATCACCATCCATGCCTTATCCCAACTATATGGGGTTGGCTACATGAATCCTGTTTCGCCAATCTGCTCTATTTAAAACCATATCCACTGTTAAACTATTAGTGCTTAAACCATTTCTCACTACTACCCATGTCCTTTTTGATCTACTCCTAGCTCTTCTAGCCCTTTCCACTTGTAACAAAAAACACTTCTTCTAACTGGAGCTGTTGGTGGTCTTCTATGCACATGACCAAACCATCATAGTCTACTCTCTCTCATTTTATCACTTATTGGAGATACTTCTAGGTTTCTACAGATAGCTTCATTCCTGATCCTATCCTTTCTAGTTTTTCCACTCATCCATTTTAGAATTCGCATTTCTATCACACTCATTTTCTGAACAAGTTGTTTCTTGACTGTCCAAAACTCTGCCCCATACAATATAGCACTTCCTCTTCAGCATCTGCACCACCATATTTGGACTGGAAAGAGCTCAGTCTGAAACCTTCACATCTTCCATTTGCTTTTTTTTTTCTGAACCTTTATTTATTCTTCTCTTTATTCTTATAACTAAAAGACTTGCACCAGATGAATCCATCCTTACCTTTTGTCAAGAACCTCTGGACTTTCGTAAACTCTCTTCCATTCTCAACCAATTTCTTACAGATCAGCTCTTGCAAGGGATAGACAATAATGGACCCAGCTCTCGATCTATTGTCCCGCTTAAGTTCAGTATACTTACAAGTGGTGTGACCATGTCATGTGAACCTTTAAAATGGTCACTTATCTACTCTAATGGTTCACCCGATGAATGGGTCTTGTTAGCCTGCTTAGTCTGTTTAGCCTTTAATTCTTCTTCATTTCTCCAAAGGAACTCCTGCAAAGTTTCCACAAATAAAAGCCATCCCTTGCTCTGTTTTCCAAGGGGATGAAAATCATATGTTTTCTGCCCTCCCCAAACCACTCTATTAACATGATGAACCAGCCTTTAGTGTTAAAACTTAACTCAGCTACAAACAACTTCCATTCCTCTTCAATGTGTTCTTCCAACTCTGCATTGTCCTCAACACTAAAGCCACATCCATAAAACCTTTAAGCCAAGTTACCGGTTCTCTCTGGACGTAAACAGTATTTCTTTTCTCTTCTCTGATCTTCAGTTTAACTAGGTTCCTTGCTTTCTCCTCTTTGAACTTGAATATTTTTGCTTTGATCGAGATTACCTTTCTCCACCTACCCATAGGTCTAAACTTGCTATCTTCCATTTTTTATCAGCAACACAAGAAAATTTTATTATTAATTATAAAATGGAGTACAGTAAGGAGTTGTGGGCAAAGATCAAACCCAAAACCACTTTCAATATTTACAAAACAGCCCAAAACATGGACTGTCTCTGAATTCCACGTTTAGCTAACCCATCTGCCACACTGTTTGCAGATCTTCTAATCCACTTTACTTGGATTATCATATCCTTAGAAACCTGCTTGAAACGTCTGAATTCATTCTTTAACTGCCATATTACTCCTTCCCCCTTTTTCAGCCAGTCCACAACAATTTTGGAATCACCTTCAATATCCAATCTGTCGATCCCTAATTCTTTAGCTTTCTCCACCCCATACACAGCAGCCAGCAGTTCTGATCTCACCGCATTTCCATTCTGAATAGGTCCTGAAAACATAGCTACAATATTTCCATTTCCCCCTTCTTACCGATTTATTACCTATTAAAACTGATGTAAAATCATTGAAACAAATTTCCCAGTTGTTTTTCTTTACTTCAATTGCTAATATCTTGTAAATCTGCAAAGGTCGTCAAGAAGCGATTGGGGAAGAAGGCAGTTTTTCTTGTAAACCTGCCATTAAAAAAAAAAACAGTATCATTCTTCATTAGCCAGCTTATTACAACTTTTGAGTCTCCTAAATTGCAAGTTTCTCCACCCCCAATTCCATTGCATTTTGTATCCTAAAACCTGCAGCCATTAGCTCTGCGCTCATCGAATTCCCTTCACCTATTGGTCTTGAAAACATTGCATATATCTCTATATTCTCATTCCTTAACACCTCTCATATTCCAGATGGTCCCAGGTTTTACCAAAGTTGCAACCGTCAAAATTCAATTTTAAATACCCGCTTCCCGGTGGTAACCAACTCCTTGCTACCCTTTGTTTTTCGATACAACCATGTCAATCTTAACCCACTCTCAGTCAATAACATTGCAAAAAGATCTAAAATGAATTACTTTGAACCAGGGAGATTATTCAAAATACAAAACTCAACCCAACTCAGCCTTTTTTTTGATGAATGAATGGTATTTTATTAAATAGAGATAGAAATAGTACAAGCATGAAGCACCCTAAGAGGAGGCACAAGGTGTTGCCTCCCCTTAAAGGTGGTTCCAAACCCAATTCTTTCCAGATCCCAACTCAGCCTTAATACCAACCATTCAAATTTGGCTACACAAATCATGTCTCATCATTCTGTTCCATCAAAAACCACGTTTCCTATCAAAATATACATCTTCATGTCATTTCTCAGCACTTCAACCCACATTTTGATTACTCTTCTCTTCACCTTGCTCCCTAGAGCATTCTACCAGTCAACTGATGAAACCATTGGTTATGTATGCACATGACCAATCTCAATTGACTTTCCCCCATTTTGTCACCAATTGGGACTGTCCTAGGTCCTCTCTAATGTGTTTATTTCTAATTCCATCCTTTTTTAGCTTTGCCACCCATCCATCTCATCATCCTCATCTCAGATATACTTTTTTAACATAGTGTTTATTGGTTGTACAGCACTCTGAGGAAGATTATTCAAAACTCGTATAAATTATTTATGGAAAAACAGATATACTATAGTTTCCAACTTTCCATTAATCACTTAGCAACTTAATTTCTAGTTTAGTAGTGCATGATTAACATGTAAGTGTACTAAAACTGTGTAAAGTTGTATTAAATGCAATAATGCATATAGGTTATAATGAATTAACAGTATAACTTTGTTGCCTGACACATAGCTATCACTATGTCACCATTATTTTCATCTTTTTTGGTGGGTGGTGGTTGCCAGGTTGGAGGTACCTAGAACCAGATAGAGGAGCTAGTTCCCATCAAGGAAAATGGTTAGCTAGGTATTGCCTAAAAATCCTTATTGGAAAGCAATAAAATAAAGAAAGAAAAAACAACATTTTCTACTAAGATATTTCAAACAATACTTAGTAAGATTAGATCATTAGAAATAGATTAACAAACAGACTTGGAAATCTCAGGTTCTTCCTCTGAGAGTCAATAAGATAGTGAATCAATAGTGAGAATATAATTATTCTGGGCATATCAATTATCCAACAAACCATAGTCACCTCCAATGCTCAAGGATATAAAAGAGTTTAGAATTTAGACACACCATTCACATAGCTTATCTGACTATGCAATACATACAGAAACAAAAGGCATTATCATCTTTAAGTGCTTGGAAAAAAAAAAAAAACAGGTGCATCAAGAGACTTCACATAGGGAACTGCAAACATTAGGCATGAGAGCGTAAATATGAGGGAGCAGAACAGAAAAGAAGTGAAGGAATAAATATGAACAATAGAAAAAGTAGAAAATTAAGCAACTATTAAACAAAAAGAAATACACTGACCTGAGGTCGAGCTTGAACTGTGCCCCGACGACCTTTACCAGCAGGAATACCCAAAGGATGAGTATGCTCAGTTTCAAGTTTTGTAACAACCCATTTCCCAGACTTCTCTTTTCGTACCATTATCATTGCCTTGCAACCTTCCCTGGTAATTGCACGTGGCTTCCGGACTTCAAGGCGCTTTGTTTTCTTATTATCTACACGGAAACCTTCTTTGTTACAAAGAAATCTCCGACTAATAACAGAACCATCCCGACCTGAACGATGGCAATTGCCAACACGGATGATAAAACCCACACGCCTAGCATATGCATCATAGTATATCATTGCAGCCTCTTCTGATTCAAACTCCATACCAATATATGGATCTATATTTCCATCTAGATCAGCTAATTCCCTTCCATTAGAAACATTTAACTCCCTCCCGATAGGAATTTCAACCATTGCTCCAGTCTCACCTCCACCAGCTTCCCTACCAAGTGAACTTTCTATCATCTTGGTGTCCTCATCTGCATCAGGCTCCATTCTAACAGAACTTTCTGCGATTCTGTCATCATCACTTGCATAAACTCCAAAATTCACTGTCACACTCAACAGCAACACCTATTATCCTCCATGCCAAATAAGACTTGCAAATAATTAATTCAATAAATAAATAAACAGATAACCTTTTCTTCCTCGTCGGCCAAATTGCCCTCCCCAAACCGCCAAAAGCTATATCAAAAACTACAAAATACTAATACTTTCCCCTAGCAAAAAAAAAAAAAGGCACATCGTTCTTATTTTCATAAGTGATGAAATATATTCATCTAAAACACAACGTGAATAGTTCATAAAGCCAATCTTCCAAGCACTCATGCATGTAAGCAAAATTCTATCCTCATCAATTAGTTTACAGTGGTTATTGCTTTCAGCAACTATATCAAACACATATGTATTAGACACCATTTACCGATTCCACTCAGAAAACAAATAATAAAACACCCAAATGTGTATAAAGCTCTCAGCTTTTATGATAACCGTAAAACAAAATACTTGTAAAAAAACACTTCCGGCAACTGAAAGACATATTCAACCTACCTAACAAGTCTGTTCCGTTCATACTCAAAGCCTTTCAATGGCGAATAATATTCAACAACATGCCTGCAAAACTTCTCGGTTTTGCGTGAACAAATCTCTCGTCTTTGAAATCCCAAAGTCCCAAACTACAAATTCAAATATTCGAACAAATAAGTAAAAATGGGTTTTGTTTTTTAATTCTCTATTAACCGACGTTTCAATCGTTTGAAGATTAAACAACTCGTAACCTCTCTAGGGTTTCTGTTTTCCTTTTTTATATTAGAAAAAATCGTCTGTTTTAAAAGAGTATAATATTAAATTAAGGACGAGAAAATAAAAATAAAAACTTACTTGATTCTTCTTTTGATGCTCACCCTCTTCCCTCTCCTCTCTCCCTCCTTCCTGGCTGTGAAATTTTGGAGGTTATTCACTTACCGAGAGAAAAAATTATCAAAGACGGTGGTGATATGGTATGTGGAGATCGTTGCTTTTGATCCATCAGTGGCCCACTGATCCGATGGTTGTGATTGGTTCCATTTTGAGCCTGTAGGGTTGATGAAACACGATATACCAGTGAGTGGTCTTCCAATGATTAAGAGACGGTGAAATGGTTTGTGGAAGTCGTTGTTTTCTTCATCCCACTGATCCGACGGTTGTTATTGTTCCATTTTTAGCCTGTAGTGTTGATGAAAACACAAGATACCAAGTGAGTGGTCTTTAATCTTTCCATGTATAAAAGACGGTTATATGGTTTATGGAGGCCTTGTTTGTTTTCAGGATCGTCTGATAACGATGTCACATAATATGGACTTAAGCTAGAACCGTTCGATGGGCACATTCAATCCTTGATTGACACTTAGGCTATAAAGATTTTTACACCTTTTCCTTTCTTTCCCTACCTTTTTCATCAAACCAAACATAGCCTTATATTAGAGAATGACTTTGCCCCGTGCTAAGTAGGGCTAAGGGGGCTAGTAACCGGTATTTTGATAAATTTTAGTTTACATTGATTCTAATCGTGTGAATTAGTTTATTATTTTGTTTATATATAAATTTATTTAATTTAAAGATTAAATCAAATTTTATTTCTAAATAATATCCCACTTTATAAATCCTCAGTAAGTTGAATTTCACTTTTTATTTTGAGTGTATAAGCTTTTGTTTGACAATGGGAGTAACTAATTTTGATATACATAATAGAAATTGACCCCATATTAAGTATGATGTTAGTATTTTTTTATTTATGTATTTTGATAAATTTTATTTGACGCCCATTTTCTAGGTTGTAAAGTTTAGGTTATTATTTTAATGGATTTTTATATATCAATTTGTTATTTAATTTAAGAGATCAAAACAAATTTTATTTCTAAATAGACCCCCACTTTGTCACTTATCATTTAAATTGAGATTTTTTTTTTCTTTATAGTGGACAACTAACTTTTTTAATAGTGGAAGGAATAACCACTTTTGAGATGTTACTTCTTAAAAAAAATAAAAAAAAAATTAATTTTCTCTCACAAAAAAAAAGTCATAATAGACCCAAAACTCTCTTGTAAGCCCTAACTCTTTTACTCCTTACTTGTTTTTTGCCAAGAATATAGACCATGGGAAAAATAAGTCAATTACGTTGAGAATCAAGAGAAAAGTTGAATATTCATTTGTTAGAGATTGATTATCATTAAGAAACTTAATCTCTTAAAGTGTTGTAACCCATTTATTATTGTACAATCTCTTGCATTTGAATAGTTTACTTTGCATTTGCATATCAACCTTATAAAGGTATTACATCGCTCATCATTTGAATTTATCATTGATAGACTTGTTGTATTTGATCAACTAGTGATTTTTCTAGTCTAGTGTTATTGGGTGTTTTAAAATTGAACGTTGTAAGGTTTTGTTGGCACCTATAAGTTCAACTAATGAAATGTCTTGTTGGTACTCGTAGGTTCAATTACCATAAAGGTATTGTTAGCACCTAGAAATCTAACTGTTGTAAAAGTTTTGTTGGCACCCAAAAGTCTATGCCATATATATAATGATATTCTCAAGAAGTTGCTTGAGAAAAATGTTGTAGGTTAAATTTGGTTGAACTTCTATAATGTGTGATTCCTATTACTCTTGTTGTTGATTGTTGGCTTTCATTTCTTGCACAAACAACACTTTACACCATTGCTTACAATTAACGTAGCAATTATAGATGATGATAATGATGGTAATAATTTTCAAAAATTTTCTATAAATGTATATTTTTATTATTAATTAGGCGCAAATTGCAAAATCCAAATATGATTACATAAATACCTCATCCAAATATGTAATAATTGGATTGAGTTGTGAAGTTTCAAATATCATTGACAAGCCTACCTATTAGGCTAGACACTTCTTGTTTATTACACTTATTGTTTAATTTGATTAATAAAAATATCATAAATGTGTCTAATTTTTTCTACATTTTTGTAATTTTCTTTATTTATTCATATTTTAAAAATTTTATTATCTAACTATGACTTCATAGGTTGATCAATTTAATTGAGATGGTTGATTTTCTTAGCCACCACTTGGACGAATAATGATTTTGTTTTTTAGTCAATTTTAAAATATATGGGTTTATGTTGTTAAAAATAATGACATAGATCTAATTAATAGCATTTATTAATAAAAATAACTTAAATGTAAGATTTAATAAGAGAATATGGGAGTTAATAATTTAAGAATAAGATTTAATGAGAGGGGATTAAATGAGTTGTGAAGTAATAATTGAAGTTATATTTTCAACCCTTACCATTAGATGGACTAAGTACACAATCATGGGCATTTTAGTAGCCATTAAAGTTATAATAAAATGGCTTCTATACCATTTTCTCAAACAAAGAAGTAGAGGGTAATTTTATTCCAAAAAAGTTTCACATTGCATTTCCACTTTTATATATATAACTAGTAAGTGTGCCAATAATAGATTATGATAATTATAGTAATAATAAATAAAAAATTTTCTATAAACTTTATGTATATATTATATATAAAAATAAAAATTATTTATTATATATATTTATATGTATATGCATTTGTATGTATGTATGTACGTATATAATAAAAAATTATTTATTTATTATAATAGGCTCATGAGTCGAGCTCGAATAGCTTGTGAGAAGCTCGGCTTGTGGCCTCCCCTAATTATACCCAATGGCCAAAATTAGTTCAGACTTTTAGTTTTTCCATTTTGTTTTTGAGTTTTTTTTTAATTTCTGCAATCCTTTTTAAGTTGTAACAACATAAAAATTTAAACTCCAATGAAGAGATTGAAATATGGATGCAAGAAATGAGATATTAAACACCAATCTTATATTAGAAATATAAAATACACCAATGAAGCAACCGATATGGGACCTAAGAGAGATTTAGATAGATGAGAGAAATGTAAAAAGAGGGTAAATGGTGTTGTAGTGGCAGTGATGATGAACATGGACATAGCCACTGTTGGTGGTTTCTTATCTCTTTCTTTTTTCTCACTTCTTAGCTTTAACCAATTACCTATTTCTCAAAGTCTCACATTCCCCTTACATACTAATGTATATATATGGTGGACTTTATTCTAATCCTAATATAACGATCAAAATAAACATTACATTATATTTTACATCTTATCGGTTTGACCCACCCAAAATAGACCGTTGAACTGCTGACCCATAAATCGAAAGCCAAAGCGATTCTATTTCCAATCGATTTCTAAAACCTTGATTTTAGTTAGAATAAAGTTTCACATACTTAATTATATTTTTAATAGCAATGTAAATATAGAATTATAGATGTGTTTAATTTTTTCTATAATTTCGTTTTGTATTTTTTGTGTGTAAAAATAATTATGATATGTCACACTTAATTTTTCTTTAATGTGATAAATATATGATATTATACATGTGCCTAAATGTTTTTTTACAAAATTTATATGTTTTTCATTTTTATATTTTTATTATTCATTTATGACATTAAAGGTTAACACATTTAACCCAAAAGTTGAACTACTTATAATTAGTGTTTATATTTCATTGTTGGTCAAAATGATGTATTTCATTTTCATTATCAAGAAAAATAACTCTTGTTTATTACACTTATTTTTTTAACTTGATTAATAAAATATCATAAATATGCATTTTTCTACATTTTTTGAAAATTTTTTATTTAAAAAATTTATTACCTAACTATGACTTCATAGGTTGATCTTTTTGATATGGATGGTTAAATTGCTTAGTCACCACTTGGATAAAAAATGGTTTTGTTTTTTGGTCAATTTTAAAATATATGGATTTATATTGTTATTAAAAAATATTTATATAGATTTAATTAGTGAAAAAATAACTTAAAAATATTGAAGTTACATTTTCAACCCTTACAATTAGAGATATATTAAATATACAAATATGATCATTTTAGTAGCCATTAAAGCTAACATTAAAGTTATAATAAAGTGACTTTTATCCTTTTTTAAACAAAGAAATAGATGGTAATTTTAGTCCAACAAAAAGTTCCACAATGCATTCACACTTTTATATATATTATAGATATAGATAAGGCGATATTTAGGCAAGAAACTTGTAAAAGTAGAACCATGGTTTTCAAAACCGGATCGGACTGGATGGTCGGATTGGTTCCGATTTTCCCCAAAACCGGATTTTTGCCAAAAAAATGTTGATTTGGCCAGCATACACCTGACCCAGTCAGTTGAACCGTTCAATGGTTTTGACCATTTTTTAATTTTTAATTTTAATTTTTTTTGTTTTAATGAGTCGTTCATTTGGTTTGAACGGTCGGACCATTTGACCCAGGAATCGTCCCCCTGACCGGTTCGTTGTCTAGATCGATCTTAAAAACCTTGGGTAGAACCCAATTCACCCCCTCTTGGGCTAGGCTACCTGACAACAAGCAGATCCTTTCCTTAGCCATTTTTTACCCTAATTCTCTTGATGACTTCCCCTTCTCTAGCTTTCCAACCTTTGTCTCTTCTTCTATCCTTTGGCATCTTAGTCTCTACTTCAAGACCTATAGACCATCCAGATCATCCGAATGGTTTGCAGGGCCCAATTGTCCAAGTTCACATCTTCTGAGTGAACGTACTTGTAACTCTTTTCTATTAGTTAATTTTACTTTTATAGTGACAATTAATATTATTATTATTAGTAATATATGGTATCATATGTATGCAATACATACTTTGTGATTGACAATCTTGTTCCCTAATCCTAATGCATGCGATATTGGATCCCAATTCTCTACTATAACCATTAAGAGACCATAAGCCAATTGTCACCTTGTATATGAACAACATCCCTTTTCTCCTTCTTTTTTTGTTCCTAAAAATGTTCCTTCTCTCCTCAAATGAAACCCAATGTTTAGAGAACCATACCATACATAAATTTGGAAAAGGGAGAGGTTAATGAGTTAGGGGTTCAATCGGGGTTGAACCAGAGTTTAAACCATTATTATGTGGCATATACATATACATACAATATATATTATATATAATATATTTTACCAATTTTATCATATATATACATATATATT